ACATCTAGTTAAAGTTTTAGTAATTGTTCTATATTCTATGTTTATATAAAATTACCTTCCATGTACTTAGTTTTCAAACTAAGATAAATTTTTAATTTTATGTATTACTAACAATGCAGACTGGTGTTATTTTGAACTACATATAGAGCAATCAAGCAATCCCACAGTATGAAGTTGCATTAGCATGGCACAAAACTTCATGTATGAGCTCATGTAATTTACAACCCTGCTGCTGGATGCACATGTATCAAGTGATTTGTAAGTAATTTAATGTTTAAACAACGAAGTACAAAACATTTAGAAATTTCATGCACAATTTAACCACATCGTATCATACTAGTTGTATAGAGGTCACTGAAATAATGTTATGCAAAAAATAAAATGAACTACATTTAATCACAAAATAAAAGCAAAATAAGAAAATCTTCAGACAAATAATAAGAGCAAATGTTTTGTCTTTGCTTCTTTTGTTGTGTAACTGTTGTCATGAGCTTTAAATAATTTTTTTTGTCAAAGTCCACATGGGCTGGTTCAATTACTTTAGAACACAGTTGACAATATTATTATTCTCTGCTCTGTTATTACAATATATTCTATGATAATTTCAATTTAAAAATTGTCACTATATGCACTAAACTCATGATTACACAGTCTGTATCTAAACAATATCCTTTCCACAAGTATTTAGTCAATGATTGAAATAGCTAATATACTATTGTCGTACAAAGTTGTTTAAAGCAGTAATATACATTAACAATTAATAACTACTCTGCATGTAGATAGTACAGTACTTTACTATAATAAAACATACATATTTATGCTAATTTAAATCTAGCTCCCCATGCAATGTTACAACAGAATGATGATTTCTCAACTTTTCATTGGATGTTTGTGGATCTTATGTGAACAGCAATGCAATTGTTTAAGCTACATTTCATGTAAAATTACTTCCAGATTTAATCTTGTAGCACCTATTTTTTACAAATTCTCTTGGAGGCATGCCCCAGAACCCCATAGCATTAGCATTCTTTTAATTCTGATTGTGCTTTACTCAATATGTGTTGGCTTTTGATCTCATAAATTAGAATCCTCCCATTTCACACATTCTTCGTATGGACCTGGTATATATATATATATATACTATTATTTAACTACTATTTCT